AATTCATTGAGAATCTGTAGGGCAGCTACGTAATCTCCTGTAAGAACAAAATTATGAAACATTACATTTTATTGTACTAATTGAAGAGGATTATTGTACACAAATAAATTACTCATAAAATATAGATAAGAATGGAGCTACTGACCCTGGCTTATGTGAAAAGACACTAAGGTATTGATAGCTTTCGATGTAGGAAAGATATCAATTGCTTTGCGTAGCTGTTGGATACCAGCAGGACCTGGGCCCAACGCTAATGCTAACTCTACTGATAGACCTGCAGAGATTGTGTTGAATCCCACTTGATTGCTGCATCTAGCCATAGAATGACCAAAACAACTTACAGCAGCCTAAAATACATATGAGATATCTTCATGTCTTCTTTTTATCGCAAAATTGAATATTGCACAAGAAACCTGTATGTTTTCTTGGCCTATAGAAGGACATCCTATATCATTATCTTTCTTTTCAGCTGTAAGAAATTGCCTTCCAGCTTTTACTAAAAGATTTATTTCAGAGGAGGCATTTTCTAATGTGCCTTGGCATCTAGCGGCTGCCAACCAACATAAACCTGCATATTGCCACAATTCCTTCTGTTCACATTCAGTAGCTAAGACACCTAAAAGAAACAAGTATCTTTAGTTTGTATTCTTTATTTCTTTAATTAAAAATTAAATTAAGTGCGTATGCTATTGTATAAGTCCTTCAAAAGCTAGACTGATCAATTCTATATAAAAAGTAGAGAAAAGAATAGGCAAAATTAAGAATTACAATTATGTGTTTCAGCACTAAAATTGAGAAGCTTGCAAAAAGTGAAATTGCAAGATAAATAATAAGACTTGCATGATATTGAGTTAAACACTCACTGAATTGATCGCATGCCTCTGCGACATTCGGTTTCCTCAGAAATCGTCTAAGAGAACAAAATAAAAGAGAAAATTATTATCGACAAAAATATCTCTAATCGTAAAAAACTGCTTTAAAAACCTACTTTTTCAGTTTATTCGAGATATTGTGAAATCTTGTTAAAAAATCCACGGTCTTCCCGATTCCTGGACTCTGACTCACATGAGCCATTATTTTTTTAATTTTTAAATATTAGATTAGCGTGTGCGCTCGCATTTGATATTTAATCCATAACGATTCGGTACTCATGTCAAGGTATTTTCCATCGTTCACACGAATGTAACTCCATTTTTTATGATTCTACGATGCAAATGACATAAACGAGCGACATAAAATACACAAATTCTATGTCAGTTGCATACAAAACACAAAACCTTGTGTTTGAGATTACAGAACGCTGTATTATCGACAGTACGATTTACATCACGAACGCAAAAAGGATAATTGGATGGGTATGTGAATGTAAAACGGCAAGCTTCTTGACAACGGATAGGTGTGCGGGATTAGAAGGGGGAGGTTGAGTGCGCCACATTGTTGATACGGACGATGATCCAATCGTGACTCACTCGCCCTCGTCTCGTGCGCATCAGCAGTCGATCGGTAAACAGTCGGAGCGATGCACGCTCGCGTGATTTGACGTATTTGACAAGTTTCAGAAAGCGCACCTCAGCGCAGGATACCTAGGCTGCATGCGGAACGTCGATCGTGTTTGGGCTCGAGATATCCTTTCCTTTAGAGGATAGCATCTTTCTATTCTTTTTTTTTTTTCCTTAAATTTCTCCCATCATGGACACAGACAGGCCTTTGCACGAAGATTGGAAAAAACGGGTATCTATGTACAGGCTATGTTATACTGGTCAAAAGATATAATTGAGGAAGCCCTACGAATAATTTCGCATTATTGAATACCTAAACTAGTTTATACTTGAACGAATCAAATAAATTTATAGATGCGTCCGTAAACGTGGCAAAATATATTTTAATACATTGATGCTTGATAGCATTTTATTTATATATTTAGTAGTTGTAGAACGTTGCGAGCCAATGCACAGAAAAATCTGTATTGTTTAAAAATCTCGTTTAAAATGTAATGATTTTTGTTAAATCCTGATCTGATATGTTTAGGCTTTTGTGGGACCACTGCCGGACAGTTTTCTAAGAATAGAAGAGCGCAATGCGCAGTTGCAGCAGGAAGCAGCAGATCAGCAAGCTGCTCTAGCTCTCCAGCAAATGCAAAGCATGCCAGTGGCTCACGATCCTCGAGTGGGTAGACTTAGCATAACAATTTCTCAGGTAATTTGTCTTCTTGCTAAGATTTAAATTTGAATGATCTAAAAATGCAACATTTTCCTTCCACGTTGCGATTACTTTTTCTAGGCCAAATTAGTGAAAAATTATGGAATGACAAGAATGGATCCATATGCGAGGATACGAGTGGGTCACTCAGTGTTTGAGACTCATACAGACTCGAACGGTGGAAAAAATCCACATTGGAACAAAGTAATCCAATGGTGAGAATACTTTATTTTAACATTTTAGATATCATGTAATATATGCGAAAGTCATGAATATTATAATATTTATTGCAGTATCCTTCCACCTGGAGTTAACCAGATATACGTAGAAATTTACGATGAATGTTCTTTTGTAATGGACGAGCGGATTGCATGGGGCCACATAGAGATCCCACCACAAGTAATCCAGAAGGGAGAAACACACGAAGATTGGTACATGCTTAGTGGAAGGCAGGGTGATAATCAGGAAGGAATGATCAATTTAGTATTCAGTTATACGGTAAAAATAATTATTTTCTTTAAGTTCATATTTAAGATCTAGAATAATCTGAAAAACATCTTAGGAAAATTAATTATAAGCTAGACATTTAAGATATGATTTGTAATAATAAAATTAATATCTTTCGAGTGTTACTAAATATTATATTTTTTTTCTCAAAGATTTACTTAAGTATTTTATCTTTTTTTTTTCTTTTGAATGATATAGACCAAATATCATCCATATATGGGTTCCTCTTCGATAATGATGGTTCCTTCAGCAACAATGTTTGGCGTGCCATATGCTCCAGTAAATGTTTATACAGCACCTCCACATACTGTTGCACCAACGGTAGCACCAAGTTCTTTACCAAATGCCGAGGTCGAGTTGAAACAGGTATGTGCACCTCGTTTACAATTCTGCCCTTTCTTTCGTAATATAATGTAATATAATATTTTACAGATCGCAGAAATGTTCCCGAACGTTGATAGAGAAGTCATCAAATCGGTTTATGATGCCAATCATGGCAAAAAAGACATTACGATTAATTCATTGCTTCAAATGTGCGAATAAATTCTAATTTTCTACACCACTGATATGCCATATGTAACTTTATAGTATCCTTTGTTGATGAGTATTTCTCTTGGAATGTAAAACGATATATGAAAATCTAATTTATAATTTATAATACTTCCATACGTAATGATACATATTAAGGTCAAAGTATTCTTTGAATATATAAAACGATGAAAAACATTTTTCTTCTGAGGAAAAAAACGTATTATATTTTAATTGAGTAAAACATTCAGTTATGTATTCTTAGTCAATTTTGTTATGTATTATGTTATTGTTATTTCAGAGTTTATATTATTTTCTTCCTTATATATATTTCCATATATATATATACGAATATTTATTTTTTAATTGCGCTAGACATATTATAAGGTACACAATTGATTCGTTTCTGTATATAATTTAAATATATTGCGCATTTTACAAAATTGTAAAAAGATATACGTCTGATTGATATAACTGCACATAACTTGTAATAAATATTAAATATAAATATATATGTATATATAATTTGTATAATTTCATTCATATCAAAAGAGAATTAAAGTGAAAAGATCAGGGAATATCGAAAATTTTATATATAAACAGCGAAATGGCTGCAGTTACAAAAGTAATCAGGATCGAGTTTGTATTTCTTATTGTTGAGTTGCAGGGCATAGCGTTCTCTTTAGATTGGCAGACACATACTTCGATACTGTACCCTTCAGTCTAGAAATATATTGCAAAAATATTATAATAATATCTAGACTTTATTAATAAATGCTAATGTTGAGTCGTAATCATTAAACAGATACGAACTTAACTGCGAATCATTTATGTATGTAATACGTACGTATTGGACGTAACAGCCTGATTTAACCGACGTTACCTGGTCTTCCGTGACTTTCCCACGGAAATAACTGACGTTTATAACTACAAATGTGATATTCATATTTGCATAACTGATCCGATCATTAAAATCTAGGTCAATTCTATTTCATTATTAATGGAATGTATTTACCTGCGCCGCTGTATATATATGAATATCTTATACAGACATGACCAGGTATCATCGGTTGGAAATAAATACCGTTGTCTGTATGTCGATTCTCCCATATCTTGGTTGTATTTGGCTTGGTTGTATCGTCTGGAAAATATCACGAGGAATGTCATTGAGTGTTTGAATTCATAATCGAGAATGAATATAAACTCACTGTAGTATTGCATACAAGGAGTACGTGGATTATTTTCATTGTGTGCCGTGCAGTTCAACTCGTCGACTCCTGCACCTGGCCATGTGAAATGAAAGCATTGTGGCCTTTCAATATCTATCGCTATTATATACAAAAGAAATAGATTGTAAGAAAAAGGACAGACTACAAAAAAAGCATCGAATGAAAAACCGATCAAATTAAATCAAAGACTCTGTCAATCAGCTTCGCGTTATTTCTTCACATAAACATCATATTCTAGCCGTATCGAAAAAAATCGTTTTTCTCATTCATATGTGATATAGACTAACAAGTCAAATCTTTTTCTCATATTTTTATATATATACTTATATGTCTAACATATATGTAATTGTACGTATGTAACACTTAACAATGCGAATTGTCTTAATGCTCTGCGTGCGTGAATGTACGCGGATTAGGTATTTTCTGCAATCTATTCTTATACCGGCTGAATCTCGAGCGAGAAATTAGACGGCGGTGGCTTAGATTATTCCTGATTGGTCGCTACAACGCAAGTCTCATTGTTAAACGAAAATATGTTGCTAATATTGACGGCCTGAAAAGCTATGCGTATGATGTTATTCGGTACTTATATTCATATGCGTTATTTGTAAAGCATCGAGAAGCATAATGTAAAAAAAAATAAATGTACTCACCTAAAAGCACGTAGATACGAATCGTTAATAATACAACCAGACAAATCCCTTTCATTCCTCCACATTTGCGAGCTAATTTACGAAGGTATTATTAGGGATATTACTCACGTTACTATGAAATTGGAAGCTTATCTGATAAAATCGATCATACAATGACACATTCCAGATATTATATCGCATTATCTCAAATCTCATACAGGGCAATATACAGGCAAATACAAAATATAAAAAATAATTAATCGCGCTGATCTGTTTGAAAATATTGCTGTTTTAATGTCTACTATTTATCAGATGCGTCGTTCGTGTCTCCTTTCAGTTTTGTTTGATTTAAATCACTTGCATTTAATTTCGAACCGATTTGGTCAGTTCAGCCGCATTGTGATCACGTTCTATTTATATCTTCTGTTAACTCGACTAAAAAAAAGCTTTAACGTTTCTCAAAATATTCGAAGAAAACAATGGAGAGTTAACACAATGACAATATAAAAAATTTATTTATAACAAGCTAATATCGAGCTCTACAATTTTTGGCAGATATAGCAATTCACGCATTCATCTTTTCTATCTTTCTCTCTTTACGGCATTGATTATGTAAATATCCACGATATAAAAAAACATTTATTAGAGTAAATAGATAAATATTTTGTATAGACAAACTAGATCTTAAATAGAGCATTATAAGTAATTTTCGATTGTTAGTAATTTCTTTTCTTATGAGATTGCACCTCATCAAAACTCGTCGTGCCTTGCTAGCGCCTCGCCGAAATCGGTCGCCTGTGATCCGACGAAAATGTCGTACTTCTCTAGAATCTCGTTCTTCGTTAGCTTGTGATCCGCATCTGTGTCCGCTTCATAAATAAAGTGTCTCGATTCCGCTTCGGCATGATCAAATTCCGCAGGAATGATCCACGTTTTCACCTGTTTCAAATCAAAATTTCAATGAATCAGTTTTATCGTCAATGTGCCTTTTTTTTTTTTTAAATAAAGAATGAACACTACCTCGTCAGCATTCAAGAATCCATCTCCGTCTTTGTCTCTATAAGAGGAAAACTGTTCCTTCTCGTTCTTCACCCATTCTGGCTCCTCCTCACCCTCTTCGCCCCTGTATATGTCGCCTGCGAAATAAAATAAGGATTCACAAGCTGCTAAATCTCTTTTAAGATAAACAATGATAATGATTTCTAATTACCGATGTATTCCGCAAGGGATATCTTTCCGTCTTCGTCCTTATCGATATCCTCCATCGTTTCCAGCACTATGACATCCTTCATATGCTCTGCATCTTCCGCGTGAAGAAAGGCAGTGAATTCCTCCTTGGTCAGAGCGTCGTCGCCATCGAGATCCGCGGCGGTCCACCTTCTACGATCTCGCTTATACATTTGAAGATATGAGAACGAGTCGTCCGCTTTGTCGTTCTTCTCCCTTTCCATCTCTTGCTCCTCCATATCACCATAAACCATATTCTTGTATTCGGTCCAAGACAATTTATCCTTTCCCGTCGGATTGTGAGAACGCCACTGACGTTCTACATCATCTCGGATGTAACGTTGCTGTGTGTACATTATCCAATCCTTAAGCTCTTCTTGTGTGACATAGCCGTCACTGTCTTTGTCTATTTTGTCAACGATTATCCCCAATCTCCTAGTGCTTTCCTCGGGACTAAGTTGATCAAAAGTCTTGGCCTCTTCTCCAAGAAAAGCTTCGTGATCATAAGCTGGATTGTGCTGGGAATTGACATAGTGATCCTTACCACTCGCATCCTAAAACACAATGCATAAAAGAGACTTTGTAAGTCTTTAAATTGTTTCTTTTTCATTCACTTTTTAGAACTTTAGTTACGATAAGAGTAATACAAATTTCATACTTCCTGTCAGTACGAATTCATTTTTGACATTGAAAAGTCTTCTTCAAAATGACAAGAAAAAGTGAAGCTTTAATATCAAGATAATTATAAAATATATGAAAAAAAGTTGTAACAAAGAAGAAAATTCTCTATTTCTCTAACCTTGTTCAAAACGCCGTCCGGGATCGTCCGCTGTGGGATCGCCGTCACCAGGACGGAGAAACCGACCAGGATTTGCAGCAACATGAGCGCACGCGTTCCACGGGGAGATCAAGCGCGAGAAAAAAAGAAAAAAGAGAAAAGAGAAGGGAAGAGTGAGAAAAGGCAAGAGATCGTCGACTCGGCGAAAGTCTTCTCAGGAGTCAGAACGTGCGGTGACCTCCGCGTTGAACAGACGCGTCGGACGACAGATGAGACTTCTCCTCCGTTCAGGGCTTCCACATCAGCAAGCGCGGCGAGATCGTACGCGCGGCACACCCCCACCCTTCGCGATTCCGCGCTTGTTGTGGGAGATGCGCGGCGTCGTCGACGGGCCGCGTGTCGCGTCTCTGTTTTTATAGAACGATCGTCTCGCGACCGAGGAACGCACGCCGGGCGTTCGGCGGCCGGCGACCCCGTTCCGAGAGACGAATCCGCAGCCTCCACGTGGGTCACGGCGGAAAGATAACGATAGCTCGTCTATTACGGGAACCCGGCATCCTTTAAACGCGGCGCGCCTCTCCCGCTCTCCGTCATCTTTATTTTAGATTTTTCGGTTCTCATCTCGCGAGAATAGTATATTCTGCTTTATCATTATCGGCTATGGACGATCTTGACCAAACACAGATTCATTTAATTTATGATTTAATTTTATCGACAAAATCTTTATTATACAATTTAATTTCTGATCTGATCTTTTTTCTCGCGTGCCGCAGAGATAGAAATTGACGATTCTGTCTAAGGTAATGATAAAATATTGGGAATATTGCAAATGAATTGCTTATTAAATCAAAATGGATGTTATAAAAATTTATATTCAAGTCAAATATCCGAGAAATAAGTGATTTAAAGAGAATTAGAAAGTTGCGTTGAGATTTTAAGAATTGGTTTTTAGTCATGATTATAGATCTTTCTTTAAACAGATTTTTATTTAACACAACGATATATGCTAATTCTGTGTTACAATCAAGTGTTTGTTTTTTCATTCTTATTGCGTGAATTTCTGTCCTTAATAGAAATTTTCTATGACAATATTTTAAATATTTTTTTTCTTAATTTTAAGAATTATTTATCGCCTCATGCCTTTGCATGTATAAAATATCATTGTTCCACTTCACACGTTGTCACATGGCATACATTAGTAGTAAAAGAACAATTCTTTCGCATAGTGCTATGGAAGTTCATTATATAAATATTTGACTAAGAATTCGATATACAAATTAAAATCAATATAATTTTAAACTTCCAATGGAAAGTCTCTGTTTGTTTCTTTATTGCATCAAAGCAACATATTTCAAAATCTTATCTATTAAATGTGCATCAATCACAGATATATTTAAGAAACTAAATGAAAAATACATAACAATCAATATTTGTTAAATTCATATTGATCCTTCCATTCTAATATTTTTTGTTTTTGGGAATACCAGTTCTTCTAAATTCACTCCTCTCCTCCAGATATTGCTCCGTGCACTCTTTGATGAAGCCTTGATCGTAATACCACCTCTCCATGCACTTTTTCATCCTGTCATTTTCTTTCCTGCACTTTATAACGTGCAGCAGGCCAGAATCGAGACAGCAATTGTGGAATTCTGCGAAAGAGGCGGATCACATTCCTAAGTGATTTGTCTTTTGATATAAATCAAATCATTACCTTTAACTTCAGCGACACATTTCTCGGATTTGGTTCTCTCCCGCATCAACTTGGGTATCAGCACATCTTTCTCCACTTTCCTTAAACTCTTGTCGTTCGGATCACCTGAAATATATCTATATAGTAGTTCCGATTCTTGGAAAGAAGGAGATTGTAAAATCTGAATATACGCGTAAACTGTCAAATTTATTTTTAACGTCAGCGAATTTTAATTTCACTCGATTCTGTAGTTCGGAATTAAAATATGTAACCTGTTACCGAGCAATCTTCGATATTCAGCACCGGTGATGAAAGTTACCTGTCTACTTCGTGACGTCTATTACTCGTGAAATCAAAATAAAAAGTTTACCCAATCCTTTTGGTCCCCCGCCAAATTTAGGCGAAAGCACCGAATACTCCTCCTTCATGTTGTGTTCCCGAAGCAGATGCACCCTACGTAACCTCTTTCGTTCGGTACCGGCGGCATGGAAGGACTTCTTTCCCACCACTTGCCCATCACATGTGCATCGGATCACGTGACTGTCATGACAGATTCGTGCTTATTGTTATTTCTACTAATTTTAATTTCAATTTAATTTATTCTTCCTTATGATTCTAACAAAGAAAAGAAGTTTAAAAGTAAATTAAAATCCAAGATTAAAGTTAATTTACATTTATAGAAATTCCTTCATCTTAAAGAGATAAAAATTGGATCTTTTAATCAAATTTACAAAAAATATCTTCTTTTTATTTATATTACGTATATTCAAAGACACTCCTTTCTTCTACTGTCGAGTCAGCTGTCGTTTCATCCGCACGAGAATTTATACATTACCATATGTAGGTTGTTTGCCGAGCGATCTTTTATCGGCGTGTCAATCAAAACGGGAGAACTTCTAACTTCTCCCCACTGTCGTAACGAGTTCAGTGCCTGAAATATACACGCGGGTGAGTTTGACGGCCCCGCCGTCTCGCAACGTTGGGAGCAACCAACAGGCTGCGCTCGTGATTGTGCACATTTGAGACTTGTCAGCGGTGACTCGCCGGAGGGAGGAATGCTCGTTCGATCAGTCACGACGAGAGAGGAATTCTACTGCCGAAGACGAGCAATTGTAAAGAACAACTCACATTGTAGCATCCGATAAGAATCGATATACAAACTTCCCGAACGGGATTGCCAAGGGATAGCTCGAAATACACGTAGCGTTCTTTTCTTTAACCTCTAAGTCTGCTTGTATGTACACTCATAAGAATAAACCTCGAATGTCTGATAGTTTTCCGGTGTAATTCGGTTCTTCGAATATTTGCAGAGCTCAATTAACGCGCCAGAATGGATAGGCTCTTGCGACTGGGTGGTGGGATGCCCGGCCTAAACCAAGGGCCACCACCCTCTGATGCACCTGTTGTGGACACAGCCGAACAGGTATCTTTCATAGTCTTGAACATATTTCTAAATCCCCTTTGTGTCGCCTTATTCCTTTCTGTCCTTACAGGTGTACATATCATCTTTGGCTCTCTTGAAAATGCTTAAACATGGTCGTGCCGGAGTGCCAATGGAAGTAATGGGTTTAATGCTGGGCGAGTTTGTTGATGATTACACTGTTCGCGTGATCGATGTCTTTGCTATGCCACAAACTGGAACGGTAAATACTAAAACACAAACATGCAAAAAAATTAGTAAGATGTGCTAGTGATCCTTATTCTGTTTTTTTTCAGGGTGTCAGTGTAGAAGCAGTAGATCCCGTATTCCAAGCAAAAATGTTAGACATGCTGAAGCAGACTGGTCGACCAGAAATGGTGGTTGGCTGGTACCATTCTCATCCAGGATTCGGTTGCTGGTTATCCGGTGTGGATATTAATACTCAACAGTCCTTCGAGGCTCTCAGCGAAAGAGCGGTAGCTGTTGTCATCGATCCAATACAATCGGTGAAAGGAAAAGTCGTTATCGATGCATTTAGATTGATCAATCCAAACATGATGGTAAGTATATTTGTAGCTATCGAATGCTCTTGGATAATTCTGTTGTATTAATCATCAGGTTTTGGGGCAAGAACCGAGACAAACAACGTCGAATTTAGGTCATCTACAGAAGCCGTCCGTGCAAGCTTTGATTCACGGATTGAATCGGCATTATTATAGTATTAGTATTAATTATCGCAAGAACGAGTTGGAACAAAAGATGTTGCTGAATTTACATAAAAAACATGGATGGATGGCCTTACTCTTGCTGAATATTCGGAACATAGTCGGCTCAATGAAAATATCGTTTCTGAGATGCTTGAGCTAGCGAAAAATTATAATAAGGTAAAATATATATCGTGCGGCAAGCGCAATTCTGAAACTTCATGTGTATCATACATATAAGCAAATATTTATTATTTTAAAATATAATCTAATTTTATTCATATAGGCTTTGGAAGAAGAGGAAAAGATGACACCCGAACAGTTAGCGATAAAGAATGTAGGCAAACAGGACCCAAAACGGCATTTAGAGGAGAAGGTCGACACGTTAATGGCTACAAATATTGTTCAATGCTTGGGAGCTATGCTCGACACAGTTGTATTCAAATAATTCTTTTTCCGATACGTCACTTGCAATATATTTAAAGGAAATATACATCTTTTTAAAATAAAAATATGTTTTCTATTTTCGATGTATACAATCAACGTGAATGTGCGCGCGCCGCTCACCTCAAGTTTTTATTGAAAATAGTACATTGTATTTATAAATTTGATATCTAATTCATCAAATGTATATTAAAATTGTTATAACACTGTGAATATTTAACGGATGAAAGGATACTACAATAGTATTGTAGTTTAAAATAATGTAATATACAGCGATCAGAAAAATTTACATAGTACAAGTACTTATAATTAATTACAACTGATATTTGAACATCTGTGATCACAATCCATAATTTATCCTGTCGGCAATTACAATGGTGATTCGTACAAGTCATATATTGCAAAAAAAATATTAAAATGTGCAACACAAACATGATGCATATAATATAAACTTGATATCTTTTTGTGATAAAAAATTATATGTATATACAGTATATTTCATCGTCTTCTTACAAAAAATCAGAATGCGTATAGTTAGAATACTAACATACTCACGTCTGAAAAGACAAATGCATCTCTTATGCCCGATCACCAACGTTTTAATTCTAAGAATTAGAAAAAGATAAAGAACAAGTTAAACTGAAATTAAAGTAAATCTACGTTGGTGGAATTGGACATTAGAAGAAAAGAAAAGATAAACTCAAGAAGCTAGAAGGAAGAATTTAGTAAGCACTTTGTATTCCTTCATAAATCTTGGAATACAAATTCTTTAAAATTGAGAAATTAATATATAATATACAAAGTTGGAAGTTTTTTAATATAATTTAAAAATGACATGTATGTAATTTGATAAAAAAATAATTGTACATTTTACATAAGTATTGTCTAAAAATACTTTTTTTATTAAAGATTAATCTAGCTCGATGTAGGTTCTTGATCTTTCTCCTTCTTTTTTTTCTTCTTTTTCTTTTTTTCTTCCTTTGTCGTAGGCTCCTGTAACATATAAATATCTCTTATGACAATATAATAACATCCAAACTTTCAGATTATATATATCTAATTTTTAGAATTAATTTAATTACCTCACTGGCAACTTCTTCGGTTATGGATTCTTTACTATCGCTATCACGTTTATCCTTCTTTTTCTTTTTTTCTTTTTTCTTCTTTTTATCTTTTGGTGATGATGTTTCTAAATTTTCCTCTTTAACTACATCTAACATACTTGTACTGTCTTCTCTTTTCCTTTTTTTACTAAGAGCTATGTCTCCATTCTTCTCAGTCTATGCATTTTTTATCGAAATATACATAAAAAATTATATATAACATTGACAAAATATTTTAATATGTATATGTATTGTGTGTGTGTTTGTGGATGTAAAATACATACAAACATATATATCTACATTGTATATAATGTATATATATCTACATTCCATTGTATATAATACATGTTTAAAACCAGATAAATCATTATAAAAAATAAAACTTGCCGTTGATGCTGATACTACTGGTTGTTGGGTTGTATAATCTGCGTAACTTTGTAAGTAATCAGCGGGTGTATTTTCATTTGGTTTCCCATATTTGTCTAACTTCCCTTCAAGTATCATAAGTTTTTTTTTGATGCTTTGGGTCCTAAACCCCATTTTCTAGGATATGAATCTCTCTCCATGATTACTCTTTTGATTTTTGCAACCTTTCCATGATTACAGGCAAACATGGTTTGAGCGGTCATCAAAGCTATTGCTGTATATGATATAAATTAAATAACTATTGTTTAAAGAATATAAATGAGATACAAATATTATACAAATAAATGAAGTAAACAAAAATATGTAAAAAATAAATATATTAGATGTGAAAATAAAAATTTTCGAATAGGTAATACAAAAAATTGAATAATATGTGATACTGTTCTCTTTAAAGATATATTTACCAAGTGCTACAGCTTCGCCCTTGGTAGTTACAATTACAATTTCTTCGTTCAATTCTATGTTTGAATCATACATCAAGACACCAGGCAACATTATTTGAGCTCCATAACAAATTGCATTTACCTAATAAAATTAGATAATATATACTATCGTTAAATAATGATGCAGCAAAAATTGAATAATCAAATACATACAGCACTGTCTTTCATAACGATTCTCTTGTGATTTACTAACAGAGATTCCAATGGTTTTATAACTCTTCTCAAATAAGATTCATCTCCATGATTGTCATACAGCCATTGGGCATCGAGAATATCATGCATAGTAACCATACCATCTTCTTCGGATTGAATGCCAGAACGAGTTCTCCGAAGCTCTTGCATATGACAACCAGTACCTAAGAAGAGTCCGAGATGGACACACATAGTTCTGATATAAGAACCAGCTTCACAACTGACACGAAATATTCCTATATTACGATCAGGATCGTAATCATGGAACCAACTGTCATAAACTGTTCTAACACGGAGTTGTCTTTTAACAGCCGATATCAATGGTGGCCTTTGAAAGAGAGCGCCGCGCAACTTCTCCAATGCTTGATTTATCTAAATCATCATATATATATATTTGATTGTATTTATATAAACATTCATTGTGATTCTACCTTGTGTGTATGTATGTGTATGTGTGTGGGTGTATTGATGGTTATCTACCTTTTGAATACTTTCTGGAGCAGAATGGAGCTTAAATACAGCAACATATTCTTTTCCAGCAGATTGCTGTGACTTAGCCAATCTGGTAGCTCTGTCTATGCAAACTATCAAACATCCTGATACCTTGGGATCTAATGTACCAGAATGACCAGTCTTTTCTACTCTCAGGATTTTTTTAATCCAAGCCACTACCTCATGCGACGACGGATTGCACGGTTTGTCTAAATTAATGCAGCCTGATTTTATGTATTCAGATAATTCACGACGTAGCGGAGCAGAACCATTTACTAACGGAGTAAAATGATTGGTGCGTGACAGCATTTTATCGAAATTCTATAATAAACAAAAGTAAATAATTTTTCTAAACTTATTGTCACATAATTTGTTCTAACGCAAAAAAAATTTCTCAACCTTAAACAAAAGAGGCCAGTTTTCGGGTTTGAGCTTCACCGGCAGATCAGAGGGTTGGATTTCGCACTTCATCGATAACTGTATTTCACCGAGTGGCTTTTTCTTATCCTTCTTCTTACTATTTTCTGCAAAACAAATTGGGAACCTAACTTTAACCTAAATTTGATCTATCATATAATCTCCATTCGATAAATAAAACGAACTCGTTCTCTCGGATTATACACATTGAAGCAAATGAATTGCGCAAGATTTCTTGATCTGTTAGCTAATTTCGACATTTCAAACAGTACTATCATCGTAGGTGAGTCAATCCTCACAGCTTGAGTAGGCACGTGTTTGACACGAGATACTGTAATATGTAATTCATAACAGAAACTCATCCCGGGCTAAGCGCAAGCATTCGAAGCGATACAAAGAGAATTCGAAGATGATGATGTTTACCTTCTTCCATTTTAAAATTTGTTGTAATAGGCACACAATCTAAATTCCAAACGCCGCCAAATATTACGAAGGCAAGTTATATCAAAGCGACGTGGAATGATAATTTCCGAATATTAACGCACAATGCACATCCACAATACGCATGCGCGTCAAGACCGGTTAGTGACATTTGATTGTCAATGTTGTCAATTGGTCAGTTGAATATTTCCGAACGGTGATAGTTGGCTTATTTTTTTCTAGATGTTGGCTGCTATGTAACTAAACCGAGAAATGTTGGTTAGGCGACAATTTCCCGAAAAATGGAGGGGATAATATTGGTACCTCATCCTTAAGGCCATATCAGACTAGCAGTTGTCCGGCTACGATTGATGATTCTATTATTACCAATCATATTGACCATAACCAGGACTTGCTACATTGTGATTGGCTGAAATAGAATCGTCAACCGGCAACCGTAGCCGCGCAACCGCTAGTCTGATATGGCCTTAAGGGTAAGGTCCAATCGAACACATTGCCGATTGGTCGATTAAATAAAAAAATTTTTGATGGCTCACTAGAAAATTCCTAGGCATCGGCTGAGTGGTATGTCCAATTGAAACTGTTGCGCATCTCCCGTAATAATAAAATATATAATTTTGTAGTAACAAACGATATTTATGATTTAGCTCATAATGGTATTATAATAATATTATTGTAGTAACAAAATTTTTGTCATAATTAATATTTTCAGAACTTTCATACGCAGAAAAGTTTTCGATTAAGCAGAAACAGAGATATCAGGGGGGCTTTCGATTGCAAGGCATTCAGATTAACGATACCATATGCATTTCTCACGTCCGCTTTTTTCGTTCTTTCTTTTCACGAAAAGATCATCTTTATTAAGAGCCGCGCCGCGACTTCTCCCATTGATCGAACCAACGAGGTTCATGACGGCAGATGGCGTCGCGGAGCGCGACATCGTCACATGGAAACGCCGGCGTGACTCCACACCGTTTCCTAGTACTCGCCTTGTCCGTAGTGGTCGGTACGTATGATACGTATACGTTCGGTAGAATTGGCGGAGAGAGAAAACCGAGTCGGGTGGGTGCCGCACGAGAGGCGTATCCGCTGAGTTCTCGCGTTTCGTTTGCCACGGATCCGGCAAGGTGATCCGGTGGTGAGGAATCGCTTGCGGTTCGAGCGACTCTCGGGAACCCGAGGCGGAACGAACGGCGAAAAGTGACGCAGCAACCGTATGCATCGCGCGTGTCGGTAATCTCCTTTTCTCTGTCTCTCTCTCTCTTTCCTCCTTCTCTCGTTCTTTGTCTCTTACGTCTCTCTCTCTCTCTCTCTCTCTTCGTCTCTCCCCTCTCCCAACGGAGTGTCAAAGTTCCGAGACTGCTCGTCGACGTATCCATCGTCGGTGACCGTCGATGTAGGTTACGAGGAGGAGAAACGAACAAACGGAACGGACGAACGATCGGGGTGTAACTCGGCGTGGAAGTGTGACGCGGCCGGACAGCGACACGCACCTCCCACGGGGGAAGAAACGGAACGTCGTGCACGACGGCATCGAATGCGAGCAGGCGAGTGAGCGAGCGAGCGAGTTGGCTGGCGAGCGAACGGACAAGTGTAACGGGGAAGAGTGAGAGGATCTCCGGAGTGCACGGAGAGAGAAGGAAAGAGAGAGCGCAGCGTCGGATTCGGTGAGACCGTGCGAGGATCGTCCGGGAAAGGAGTATTGCGTGTGGATCCCGTTGGAGGCTGTCATAAATGTGCACATTCTACATAGATTGCGCGATCTATGCATGGTCGACGGGTCGATCTATCAGTGGCGAGTGCTGATCGAGCTTGACGCTCTCGCGGCAGCGAGTCGACGTTAAATCGTCATCGGTCGCGTACGACGTTGCGCCTGGCCGTCGCCGACGTCGTCGTCCCGCAGAAGTCAGCTAGCCCAGCGTACCTATCTAACGGCGTGCCCCTCGACAACGCAAAGCAGGTTAAGCATAAACTTCCAAGATTTCATGATTTTCGTTCTGGCAGGTGTCCATCGTCACGAGAGAAAGCGCACGAGCGCGCTTGTTAGTGAATGCGAACGAGCGAGAAATGAGATGAGATGAGACGAGGAATTCCCAAGTTACACCCCGGAGAACGGATGTGAGCGGATTAAAGGATGTTTATAATCAGAGGATGCATCCCTGTACGGATACATCCGGACAAGGGGGGCGACGAAACGTCGAGCGCGTGGTGTCGCCCTGTCACCCGACTGCGCCCTTCTCTGCCCCGCGCGAAGCAGCACTTTCGGTCGACGGAAGAGCTCCAGTTTAAATCCCTTCCTCCTCCCTTTCGCCCGCCAGGACATCCGACGTTTCGGATATGTCGCTGATATGATTTTGTCGGGCGATGACAAATTACCTCAGGGCAGTGACAATCGTGGCACATTCGTTCTTGCTCCCTTTATTCGCTCGTCTCCGTGCTCCTTTCCTCTCCTCTCTCGCTCGCTCGCTCTCCCTCCCCCTCCCCGCGGTCTTTTCCGCTATCTCGCATCTTCCATCTTCGTCTGTTCTCTTATTCGCACGTATACAAGGAAAGAACGTGACACACGTACACTTCGCGCACAATACACAGCTCTTGCGCACGCGCGCGCGCGCACGCACACACACACACACACACACACACACACACACACACACACGCACGCACGCGCGTACGATAGCGAGGTGTATACGCGCGGACATGGCAGTTCCATCTCTCTCCGTTTCTCCTACGTGCTATGTCGATGCATCGTTTTAACGGTTTCTCATAATTTTTCGACAACCGGCCCGACTACTGGCCGAAGAAGATCACGTTTCCCCCGAAGGTTTCGCGGAAGGTGTTGCGCTCCGGCAGATTTTCCTCTCTGGACGACGAATGCCGCTGCAGCAAGGCGGCAGGCGGCACGCACCACGGTACATAGAGCGCGCGAGCGGAGCTCGCCCCTTTTCACCAGTGCTGGCACATATTCTCCTCGGATCTCGTGATCACGCTCCGAGTAAACGTCGGTGTCCCGGGTGTATCGCTTCTCCACCTGTCCCGCCCCCCTTCCTGTCTCCTTTGAGTCGCTCCACGTATTCGCTTCCTTCGCGCGAGCCTCTCCTCGCGCCGGCAGATATACCCTACGGAAGAGGAGGAAAAAAAATGCTGGCGGACGCATTCGACGACGTTAGCGCCGAGGACTAATTGGTTAACGTAATTAACAACGCCGAGCGTCTCAATGAGTTAAAGAGAGGCTCACGCCTATATTTTTCCCTCCCTCTCTTCCCTGCCTCCCTGCCTCCCTGCCTCCCTGCCTCCCTGCCTTCCTCCCACCCTTCGGGTAAGCCAGCTACCTTTGACTTTTTATCACGCGTGCACGCGTAAGTAATCCGCTCGATTGTCGACCGTGGTCGCGGGATCCGCCGCGTGCGGACCGAAGTTTCTTATTTAATTAACTCCGGTGGGCGGTCACGCCGGATTGCCAGTCTGACTTCGCCTGACTTCGCCTGACTTCGCCTCCACCGAGCGCGATCCCTCATGCCGGTGCTGCGCTCGGCGTGTCGTCTTGGACGATCCTTTTGCTCCAACACTACGTTTTTCATCACCGCAATCTTTGTTTTTCTGGACATTCTTATCTTATCGCCTGTGCATTTGTGTTTCATGAAAGTATCTGCTCTCTCGAAGTGGTCCTCTGCTTCTCGCATGTTTCTTCCTACAATCGCTCTTGATTAACCGTGTTACTTTCCGTTGCATTATAAGTCTCCCTCTTTTGTATTCGTGTCCACTATCGTACTTATTAGTTGGGAACTCACTAGGTACGTAGATTCGCCGCACAGGCAATCTAAAAATATTATAATTCATTCCTGTCAAGCCTGAAATGAGGCTTATCTGTCAGATATATGGTTCCGGTATAAATAGACATTTATCTATCAAATTGAGTTTTGTCTCATGTGCCAATCTTTGACATATGAACATTAGAAATATCTTTGGTCTGTATTTTTTTTTTTAGAAATTATATTAAGTCTTCGATATCACCGTGTAACTTGAAAATTTTGTGGCTTATAATGAAAAATCTTTTTCAAAATGTTTGTTCTGATTAAAGTGTGCTATTACAGTTTTACTAAATATTTGTAAAAAAATGCTCTTGAAATATTGTATTGACAAAATCATATATTAATGTTCCAATACATTTTGGTTTTTCCATTTTATTACATTTCTTCTTTCTTTGAAATACTTTAATGTAAGAAAGTAGACTGGAGGGATTTGTCATCAACATGCAAAACGAAACAGGATGCTTTTTTCAATCTGATTCTATAAACATATTTTATAATCAACGATATTGTCAAGAATATTGTTAATAATTGATAAGATTGTGAGATTGATTGAAATTGAGAGAATAATTTCCTTTCTAGGTGATCATGGCGAATCGGGGTACGGCCCAAAGGCCAAATGGATCGACACAAGGAAAAATTTGTCAGTTTAAACTAGTTTTACTCGGTGAATCGGCAGTCGGAAAATCAAGTCTTGTTCTAAGGTTTGTCAAAGGACAATTCCATGAATATCAGGAGAGTACAATCGGCGGTAAGAGAGCTTTTATGCGCAATCATTTTTTAATTATACATTTATTAAGGCACGATCTGTCTCTTTAAATTCTTTTATCTCTAGGCGTTTATAAAAGTAAATTAAAAATATAAAAACTAGAATTCTTATATTGATACGACAAAAGAAAGATTGTATCGTTTAGATAACAAAAGAAATGCATATATTTTTCTTCGATTTTTATTTCTATATCGATCTATGTTATTATTATCAATTTGTATTATTATTTCCAGCTGCATTTCTAACACAAACCGTATGTTTGGATGACACAACTGTAAAATTCGAAATTTGGGATACTGCGGGACAAGAACGTTATCACAGTCTCGCACCGATGTACTATCGTGGTGCACAGGCAGCCATTGTCGTGTACGACATAACAAATCAGGTGGGTCTGCCAGTGTTTTGCCTGAGTGTTTAAATCGAGAAGAATGTTTATAACAAAATCGGATCAATGAACACAAAACCAATTGTATGCTTATTTCTTGTTTTATTAGGATACATTCTCACGGGCCCAGACATGGGTAAAGGAATTGCAGCGCCAGGCAAGTCCAAGCATAGTAATAGCATTAGCTGGAAACAAGGCAGATTTGGCAAATAAGAGAGTCGTTGAATACGATGAAGCTCAAACGTATGCGGATGAAAATGGCCTTCTTTTCATGGAAACATCGGCTAAAACGGCAATGAATGTCAACGACATATTCCTTGCAATTGGCAAGTCTATAGCTTTTGTTTATTTTCTTCCAAAGTTTGACGTTACAAATTCAAATTATATAAAGAATTATACATTTAAAAATTATATTATTAATTTAATTATAAAAGTACGTTGTATTTCTAAGTTTTATACATCTATTACTTGAATTTTTAAAATGTTTAATTTCCCATTTGATTTGATAACAAATACGCAATCAGAAATATTATTCCATCTCGTATTACGCGTTATCATTAATCAAAATGCATGGCAAATGTAAATTTATATCGGTTGATACATATTAAATTATGAGAGAAAGAAACATTTTTAAACGAAGTCTACAACTTGCACGTTAATACATTTTTGCTACAGTGAGATAATTACTTTTGCAGCTAAAAAGCTTCCTAAAAATGAACAATCAGGAAGCGCAAGTACGAGTGGTCAAGGCCGTCGACTAGTCGAGTCAGATGGGCAAAAGGCAGCAACCGGCAATTGTTGCAAGTGATTATCTAAATCCGTATGTGTCTCACAATATATTCGTATCTATATTTTTACATTATTTGAATATATAAATATATAAATATATATAAATATATATATTTATATATATAGCCTTTAAAATTAAAACTGAATGATGAGAGACATTATTCCACTGAGAAAAGCCAGCAAATATTTGATATGCCTAAAGAATATATTACAAATCAAACACAAGTTCAGTGTAACATATGTTCACATATTTTTATAATATTAGAATATATGATAAAATGAAAGCGCGATCAAACAGAAAAAAAAACGCGTGGGAACGGGAATATATCAATTTGATATTGCGTAGAATAGACATTTGCACTTTAAAATGCTTTTAGCAGATTTTTGTATTAGTGTATCGTAATACGGGGTAGCTGAGTAGTCATGCAGTTTCATAGAGTATATTTCTTGTTATGTTTATGATATTTTTATAATTCTCTCTTTCTCGACTTTTGCCTTCTTTATATTTGCCGGATTGATAGATAAAAGCAAACTGGAAATAGTCAAGAAGGATAAAAAGCGCGAATTGAAAGTAAGAGATTCAATATATGACCATCAAATTTATATATAATGTGCAGGATATATAAATGTAACTGTAATATTGCTGTACAATACTTAGCTATCATTGACAATTTCTTGTAATTAAAAGGCGATTTACGCAAATGTATATGCGAAGAAAATGATTCTAAATTTTACGATGTTTTCATGCTAATAATGTATCTGTGCTTATTTCTCAGAAAATTTTTCTTTTAGATATATTTGTTCCAACTGTTCAATGCATACAGACTTTAATACAAACATATAATATATATTGGTAGATATACTTGGTATGATTCTTTAATCTAAATTTTGCAATGTTATTTTATTGAATTGCCACATTGAAGGATACTATATGATGTCGCTGTTTGTTCCTTAAACAGCACACCTTTAATGTTCTTTTATAATAGATTTCTGCTAGATTTAAATAGCATTTACATTACTGTGACAGCTTTATTAAAGTCAGACTCTTCATTATTTGCGCATAAAAATTGTAACTATGTAACACGATGTCTAAAGGCATAACATTATTTTTCCATTAATCTTCTTATTTTATTGTATATTTACCCGTGATTAATTTAAATGCACTATTCAAAATTTTGTGGAAAACAGATATTTAATGTAAGGCACTAGATATCTCTTAATTATAGGCACATAATAGTGTTTATGTGACACTATATGTTTATAGATATTATAAATTTGTAAAGATTTCCTTTCTCTTCGGAGGATACTAATTTCTGACTGATAAAGGTGCTAGAAGAATACATGTGCATGATATCCAATTGTGCAAGCTTGTGGAAATGTTTCTTGTAATTTATGATAATGCTCCCATCTCCTGTGCAATGACTTGTATCATTGGATTGTATATTTGAAATATTATTTTATAATATTAATAGATAAAGAAAGCTGTTTGAAATTGTTACAAAAAAAGAAAGAAATTCTCAGGGTGCATCCTTCTGTTCAATTTTTTAATATTGTTGTATTCTAATTATATATTTATTCTTATTTTTTCCGCTATGAGATATGATCGTCTAGACATATTCTGTTAAAAATCACAGGTAGGTTCTGTTATTCCTGTATAAAGAAATTTTTAATATTCACCAGGCAAATAAAATGTTTTACAGTAGTTACAGTCTTGTGTATTGTAGATATTCAACAATTGTAATACAGTACATTATGGAATCGTACATTGTGACTCATTCTCCTTATCATTTACATGTAACAAAAAAGACGATCTTTATATTCTTTATGTGTCCGTAAACTGTACATTTTGCATTACACTTGAAAATAATTACAATGATATACACGCTATTTAAATGATTATTTACTGTCTTATTTCTACGGAAGGAATTAGTTATTTTTCCGAGATTTTTTTGATAGGTAAGTTGCAAGTGAATTGTTAATTATTCGAAAAAATTTACATATACGTCAACGTTGTTGACACAATTTTATATCGTTGATCTGAAAATTTTAAAATTATATTAAATTATTTGATGTTTAATTAATTATTAATTGAACCTACATTTGTATATAAATGTTTAGAATAATATTGCAGTGGACGCGCTATCTGTTTCTGATTACAGATATGTACTATAATCTACAAAGTAAGTACACCACGAGTGTGCTACGCGCGATGAATTTGAGAGGAAGACACACAACAGGGGAAAAATACTGAGTGGGAAGTGAACTGTGTGGGACATTCGCGAACATTTTGCTTGAGTGATTGTCTAAAAGTCTGCGTCTCAATGTAATCGACGATATATCATCTATTTTGAGTATCAGATAAGAGGTGGTAAAAAGAAAGCTCCCATTTGTAATTCTAGTAGTGTAATATGGGCGGTGTTCGTTATAAATATATAAATATATATATATATATATAAATATATATATATAAATACACATTATATATTATAAATCATATAGCTAAATATGATTTATATATGTAATAAGTACATAAATGCTATTGATAATAAATAATAATATTAATAATAATTAATGAAAATATAATACGTTAATATTATCGTAAATATTGATAAAATAACAGTACATTTAAAATATGCTAATGAATTTTTGGCACGCGGAGATCTTGTAAGATAGGAGAGGCTATATTCCTGCTGCTATTACTATGTATTTTCCTTTCTTAGTTTGTAACACGTATAACAATTTCTTGCTCTGAAATATATTGTATATTAATTTTATTGATAACTCATAATGAATTATAAATGATTACACGGCAAAAAGAATAAACTTGTGAATATTACGACGGCTCTTGATAATTGCCTATTTATTCAAACTCTCTAAGAAATATATATATATATATATATATGTATATATATATATATATATATATATATATAGATTTACGCAGGAAAAGAGAGAGAGTTAGAAGATTAATTTTTCTTCTTTAATGGTAATTTTTTTACTTCATTTGTTAATATGGATTCACTTATATATTCATTTGATCACGTAAATATTAATATGCTTCTGTGTTCAGTAGGTACGCTATCGACACATTATCTGTATATAATCATCCATAATGAGAAATACTGGAATTTATAGAAATGAGTAACGTATGTAATAGTAAATCTGATAAAGTGAATGCGATAATAGATATAAAACGCAGGTTTCTATCCGAGTGCATCATACCGGATGATAAGAAAATTTTATCTAGAAAAGTACGTTCTCTGCCCGAGTTGGAAAGTAATACGAATTATGACGATATATGTGGACCTTGGAAATTTGACAATGTACCATTGCGTAGCCAATGCAGTCATCTATCTTTTAAATTGATAACGTCCGAAGATATAGTTTACATGAGGACACAAGGAGATCGAAAATTGATTTTGCCGTTTCTTGGTAAAAATCTGAACTTTGCTTAAATTATTATTGGCAATAACAATTTAACAAACAACATATGTTTATTGTATCAATTTTTTCAGAGGAAAAAATCTTATCTGATGTATCATGCAAAAAGAAAACAAAGAAATACTCGTAAAACTTCTGTGGCAAACTTTCAGATTTTTCAAGTACAAATATGTAGAATGTTTTAACACTTAGCAGGATTTTTAATTAGATAGGATATTTGTTTCATGTATATTAAAATTATATATTAAAATTACATTTATATTATAACAAAGATATTATCTGCTTTTTCTTATGTGACTTACATCATAACTGGGAGAGAGAGAGAGAGAGAGAAAAGTAAAAAAAGTTTTACTTTAGGGAGAAGCTATTCACTGATCAAGAAATTGCCACAGTCATGAATTTAATACTTTCAACTCATAAATTTTATATTGCAAACTACTGGAACACAGCTGAAGAAACGTATAAATATTTTTTCGAACGCGTTCTTCAATGCACCGTTTTGGTAAACTATCTTATCAACTACATATAATTTTGCATTGATATTTATTTTCCGTATTCAAAATTTTTAGGATCCACCAAAATGCGCAGAAATATTTACACCAGACCAAGCTGAGTTGGTACTCGAATTTTTTCGTAAAATGTATTTGGAAAATATTGTTTTGTTGCATCTCGTTTGTATGACTCATTACTGCATCGTTATGCGGTTTGATGACAAAATGAATAAATAGTGATGCATTCATGGATACAAGAAAGCTATTTATTTTTATATAAAAAAAGGGTTACATTTAATAATATATAATTATATATATATATATATATATATATATATATATATATATAATA